TCCGGCACTCTTGCCCTTGGATTCTATAGTGAAAGAAATTCCCCAGGAGCCCTTTGTAAAGAGGGTTCTCCATCAAGGTCTTTAAGCAAACACTCTCTGAGACCCATGACCTCCACTTTTGGGTCAGTATGACCTGTCCGTACTCTGAGCCATCTTGTAGAACAATCCAGTAGAAGAGAATTTCCATCTGCCACCTACTTGCACCCATGACTTGACATGTTCGAGAAAGAGATGAACATGGGTCACTCTCCACACTCTGTGTGCTGAGGTCATGTGTCAGTCACTGTATCCATGAAGGTGGCTCAGCGTTACCACAGACCTCTCCTTCCTTTTTGGAAATCTCCCAATTCCCATCGTTGCTTCTATGGTCCACCGGGCATGGGGACAGCCTTATTCTGATCATTTTTTTAAAAATTAGTTCATTTATGTATTTCATTTATTTTTGCACGTGTGTGGTGTGATTGCATGTGTATATATGTATGTTCACATATATACACAAGACACGTGTGAATTCATGTGGCGGCCACTGGATGTCACTGGGTGGCTTCCTTAACCACTCTTCCTTTGTTGAATAGAGTCTCTCACTTAGCCCAGATCTTGCCCATCCTCGATAGTCTAGCTAGTCAGATTACCCTGGGGATCCTCTGTGACTGGGATTACAGGTGGCCACCACGATTGCCCAGCTTCTACAAGGGTTTTGGGGATCTGAACTCTGGTCCTCACACTTGTGTGGCTAGTATTTTATTCCCACTGAGCCATCTCCCCAGCCCCTGTCCTGTTCATTTGGAACAATCCTATCCTGCCCCAGGAGCTGCAAGGGCAGCGAGCACGCCTTCTCCGCTCTGTGTCCAGTGTGGATCACCTTTTTTTTTTTTTTTTTTTTTTTTTTGGCCAAATGGCACGTGGATGAAGATCTGTGGGCTTGCAGTGACACAAGACAGCAAGCGTGACAGCTCTAGTCCTAGGAACAGCAAGGAAGGGAACAAAAGGCACCTAAGACAGCTCCCCCCAAATGTGTGTGACACCCGACAGCATCCCAGGTGTGTGTGACACCTGACGACAGCATCCCAGGTGTGTGTGACACCTGACAGCATCTCAGGTGTGTGTGACACCTGACGGCAAACCAGGTGTGTGTGACACCTGACGGCATCCCAGGTGTGTGTGACACCTGACAGCATCCCAGGTGTGTGTGACATCTGACAGCATCCCAAATGTGTGTGACACCTGACAGCATCCCAGGTGTGTGTGACACCTGACAGCATCCCAGGTGTGTGACACCCGACAGCATCCCAGGTGTGTGTGACACCCGACAGCATCCCAGGTGTGTGTGACACC